CCCAACGAAAACATGTGAGCTCTTTTAATGATGAGCCTAGAAATAGCACACCTAGAACAGATATACCTCTTCTTAGACTTGCTTTCAATGCGATTGACAGATCTATAACTCACATTTCTATGTGAATTTGGTCAGGTCGCCCAAAAAGTTACATATTGCAGTTTTAATGATATAAGCTATGCACGAAAGCAAACTGTTGAAACAAATGAACTCTCATTCTCTCATTACATTAATTCTAGGACTTGCCATGTAAAAAGTGTAAGCCAGGGTGGTGTTGAAGGGGCTTGTAGCCTTTTCGATAGCAGGCACCTGACCTCAAGAGGTCACCTTAAAGTAATGTATGTAGCTGACGTGTATCCTTACAACTAGTTCATCATTAACCACAACTGCCAACTCTCACTTCACACAAAACGATTCAATGTTGACATAAACATTCATCAAGATGGCAAGTAATCGAACAGAAACAGTGATCCAGGATACAGCTGCCTCTTTGAAGACCTGTATAGTAAAGACGCAACAGTAACAACCTCCATGGTTTCTCAATAGACGAAAGACTACAGTGAGACAATGGGGCCATTGACAGCCAGAGTAGACACACCCTGCGCAGAAAGACAAGCAGTCAGGGGTCTTTTCATGAAAATAATCAATAAGGTGTTTGATACCCTATTATTGTAGAGTCTGCTTTCTATCTTCTATGGCAACACACCCAGAACGTAGTCTTACAGGAACAACTGGTAATGGCAAAGCACACATTAAGTATATCTACCACTTTTAGGAGATCTTTTGAGTAACAACAGACATGTTAATATAATGGCATTACAAGAGTAAATACCAAGTTACTACACAGGTTTACGAACAACTTGGTATAAAGTGTTACCGGATACATTTTACTACAGGTTCTCTTAACCCATTACCGAGCTGATTTTGGTCAAATGCATGGGTGGTGAATTATCTACCATTATCTACCAGTTAACCACACCCACTTAGCAGCTGAATACATGTCTAACAAGTAGTGTAAGTAAGTACCTTTAATTACCATGGAAGGCATTGAGCGGTGCCTGTGCATAGTCAGCAGGTGCGATTGATTTAGCTCACCAAGCGCCAGGTGGGTGGTGTTCACTTTTGAAACCATTCCATTGGTCTTTAAGTACCAACCCTGCCCTCCAGGGGTGCAGGGTGAGCTACATCAAGTGGTGATTTCTGTCTAGGCAGAGTGTCATGGCCCCTGGAGCAACATCCAGTGCCAAGAACCATACCCTGATGAAGACAGCTTGTCTGTCCAAACGCTGGTTATTCAATGATTGCATCTGAGCTCCTAGAGTGAGCGGCTCTCCTTTTCTTTTCAAGTGCCAAAAACCAACCTGTTAATCCATTACATTATTTTCTGCAGCCTCAATGCCTAAGTAATGATATGGGAAAACATATGGTATGGGAAAACATTGCATATTACACCACAACTTTGATGTGTCAAGTTTTAGTAGTTGGATAACGGTGTGTAGATGATTCTTCTAAATTCTTCTACAACAAACATTTTTTTATTTAGCTTCCATTGATTTGAGGGACATTTAATCCAAGCATCTGTTTGAGAGGGGGTCAAAGGGGATCACTGAGTAAGGGTTAGGCTATGTGAACGTCATAACTGGAGAAAAAGCATAAACAAACCGGGCTCTGACCGAACATGAACTGTCTCTTACAACTTCTTTTAATAAGCTACGGCTGTAGAGGACTGCTCAACTACTCACAGGGGATTAGAGTCTGAGCTCCACTTCCCTCCCTGTTTACTACTACAGCATCATGGGACTGGAGCGTTGGACGCAGCACCTAAGCCACGTTGTTGCTCAAGGGCTCTTGTGCCAGGCTAGGGACTTATGCAACCTAATACATACCTGACTCCAGCAGACATATTACACAGTATACGTCAAAGGCATTTGTATGCCTAATATACTGTGGTGAAGGACACCGGAAATGGCTTCATACTGAATCTTGCGAGCACTTATTAAACATCAAAAACACCAATACTGGACAACGGGAACAGCATAATACATTTTATAAACTGGGTGGTTCCAGCCCTGAATGCTGATTGGCTGACAGCCGTGGTATATCACGGATATGACAAAACATTTATTTTACTGCTCTAATTACGTTGGTAACCAGTTTATAATTATAATAGCAGTAAGGCACCTCTGGGGTTTGTGGTATATGGCCAATATACCACGGCTAAGGGCTGTATTCAGGCACTCCGCATTGCGTCGTGCTTACGAATAGCTCTTAGCCGTGGTATATTGGCCATATACCACACCCCCTCGGGCCTTATTGCTTAAGTATACTAGGGCTGGGAATTGCCAGGGAGCTCACGATATGATATTATCACAATATTTAAGGTGCTTATACGATATGTATTGCGATTCTCACGATTCTCACAATTCTATTTGTGTTGCGATTCGATATTGCGATTTTATTGCGATTTAATGTTCCAAACTTGCAAACTAATGGGAACATATTGCTCAGTATATCTGCTGCAGAGAGACAAGAGAGAGCATGAGAAAATGAGTTTTGATTATTAATGGAAATAAAAGTGCTGGAAACATGTTGGCTCACTCAATATATATATATTTTTTAATCGATATATCGAGTATCAATATATTTGTCCAAAATAATATTGCGAAATGTAACTGTATCTATTTTTTAGCCCATCACTATTATGTACACAACAATAATCATAACAACAGCTTTGTAAATACTATGTCAACACCACAAACTTGTTTGGGAATTACTGTAACACCTAAGGGCTAAAACCTCAGCAACTTTGAAGCCCTATGGATTTATTTTCTACCCACATGCTCTGGGGTAACACTGCTTTAGTTTACATGAAAACATTGAAACACATTAGTCCAGAGGACAATGAATGTGGCTTGAGGACTATGACAACCTTCCAGTGTTTAGGATCGAGTCAGAAGTCATGTTACCCTAATCACACCAGTGAAAGACTGCCTACGGGCTGCTGACGATGGCTGGCTGGTCACTGCTTGTTTTAGTCCAGATGACAAACCCTTTCCCCTGTGAGATGGCTGTCTATAAAACGGATTTATCTCCAGAGGGGTTGGGAGGTCAGATGGCCCCGTGTAGCTCAGTTGGTAGAGCATGGTGCTTGCAATGCCAGGGTTGTGGGTTCAAATCCCACGGGGGCCAATATGAAAAAAATGTATGCACTAACTGTAAGTCGCTCTGGATAAGAGCATCTGCTAAATGACTAAAATGTAAATGGATAGTGAGGCTAAGAGGCAGATGACAAAAGGGCTGTGGAGATGAGTCAGCTAACCTTGAAGCTAACCATCCATGTATTATTTACCTACATAGACTA